ATCGCTGGAGTTCAAGCTCAGTCTGTTGCCTTTGTCTGTGACTACTGTACGGACAGTCATGCTCCTAATGAATGTCCATCTCTTGCTTCTTCTGATTCACCTCAACAAATGCAGGTGAATGGTATATGGTATGACCAGCGCCCTCAGCAGCCAAATTTTCAGAGAAATCAGAATTTTTCTGGTGGTGGTGGTAACAATTTTCAGCGGAGAGCTCAGGGAGTTGGCATGGATTTCAAATCTAATAATTATACTCAGCCTTCACAGAGTCAACAACGAGAGCCTGCTGAGTGGGAAAAAGCCTTTGCATAAATGGCCAAGACTTCTAATGAGATGGCTCAGACCACTAATACCTTTATGGAGGAGACTAGAGCCAACAACAAAAATACAAATTCTTCCATAAAGAACCTGGAGAATCAGATAGGCCAATTGGCAAAGCAAGTTTTAGAAAGAATTCCAGGTACTTTTCCAAGTAATACAGTTATCAATCCAAAGGAAGACTGCATGGCTATTATTACTAGAAGTGGCAAAGTGGTAGCGCCTCTTAAAACTCCAATTCTAGATTGTGCGAAAGAGGAAGAAAAGCATGATGGAGCAGTTGAGCTAGAGGTTGAGGTAATTGTGAAAGAAAAAAGCAAAGAAATTGTTACTGAAAAAGAAAAGGTTGAAGAGCGACCTGTTGTGGTTGATAAAAAGCATGAGCTGAGTCCTGAATATGTGCGGTCTAAAGCACCTTACCCAGAGAGGTTCAAGAAAGAGGCTTATAACAAGCAGTATGGCAGGTTTTTAGACATCTTCAAGAAGCTGCACATAAACATCCCTTTTGCAGAAGCTTTGGCAAGTATGCCTGGTTATTCAAAATTCATGAAGGATCTTTTGCCAAGGAAGCATAAGCTACAAGAATGCCAAACAGTGACACTTACTAAGAAGTGTAGTGCCTTTATTCAGCAGAAGATTTCGGCTAAGCTTAGTGATCCGGGGAGTTTTAATATCCCTATTGCTATTGGCAATATTGGCATTGGTAGAGCTCTTTGTGATCTTGGGGCTAGTATCAACTTGATGCCTCTTTCTGTTTATAAGTCTTTGGGGATTGAAGAATTGAAGCCTACAGAGATCTCTCTTCAACTTGCTGATAGATCCGTGAGGACACCTAATGGGATTATAGAAGATGTTCTTGTCAAGGTTGACAAGTTTATCTTTCCTGCTGACTTTGTGGTGTTGGATATGGAGGAAGGAAGTGGGAAGCCTTTGCTCTTAGGTAGGCTCTTTTTGGCTACAGCCCGTGCTCTAATAGATGTTGAGCAAGGAATGATTAAGTTGAGGATGAATGATGAGGAGATTACTTATAATGTTTCTGAGGCTATGAAAAGACCCGCTGAGCATAGTGATTGTTTTCAAATTGATGTTTTTCAAGAAATAGTTCAACAGAAGAAGGTGCATCCTCAAGAGATTGATTATGAGTTGAGAGCCTGTGATCATGTGCCCTTTGAAAAAAAGGAAGTTGCTGTGGAGGTGCTTAAAGAAAAAGCTGATGACATAGAGGTTGGGGCACCTAAGGTTGAATTGAAAATTCTGCCTGATACTTTGAAATATGTATTCTTGGGAGATGAAGAGACATACCCTGTAATCATCAATAAGGGACTATCTTCTGACCAAGAAAAGAAGCTGGTTGAAGTTCTAAAAGCTCATAAGACTGCCATAGGGTGGTCTATTTCTGATTTGAAGGGAATGAGCCCCTCTGTTTGCACACACAAAATTCTCATGGAAGATGACATCAAACCTGTAAGGCAACCGCAAAGAAGGCTAAACCCGATGATGAAGGAGGTGGTCAGAAAAGAAGTTGTGAAGCTTCTTAATGCAGGTATGATTTACCCTATTTCAGATGATGCTTGGGTAAGTCCGGTTCAGACAGTTCCGAAGAAGGGTGATGTTATAATAACCCTTATTAGTAGTTGTGGATTTAGTATTGAAGAATAATTAGAAGTAAAAGAAATAAAGTCACCTTTGGTGAAAAATGAGTTAAAATGACAGTTAAGAGGTAAAAATACGGGTAAATAAAGTTATCCAAAAAGTGAAAGTAAAAATAGAAATATGACTAGAAAAATATTCTAGTCCATTGGGTAAAGTTTGGTTATGAATGGAGGTGTGTAGATAGATAAACCTTTACCCAGTTGGATTTAAGTTGACCTATATAAGTGAAATTTCAAAAAAAGTTACTATTCCTTCTTATTTTCTTCTCGCGGACGACAGTGAGGGAGGAAGAGAATGAGATTTTGAAATCCAATCTTCCAAGGCTCATAACTTGAGCTAGAAAACTCCAAATCACTCTGTTCCAAAGCCAAACTTATAAGAAATTTCGAGAGGAATCCATTGGTACCAGTATTTCTGGGTGGGTTTCATTGTAGAGAGAGATCCTCCTCCTCCAAGATTTTGGATTTCATGGATAATGGGGATTTTGATGGAGCTTGAAGCCATGGGAGCTTGAAGTAAGCCTTCCCCTTCGTTCTAGGTAAGTTTATGTTGAGAAATCTTGGTTTTCTTTTAGTTTTTAGGAAGATTGAATTTAGGTTTTCATTTTGAAAATTTGGTTTGATTGAGCATGTTAGAGCTTGATTCAGGTTTACCTCTGATATGTTCTGGTTCCGCTTTGGGGTCCTCCCTCGGGAACACGTGCACTGATTTTCGCTTGGGGTCCTCCCTTGGGAATGACTGCGTATGCCTCTGATATGTTCTGGTTTCGCTTTGGGGTCCTCCCTCGGGAACACGTGCGTTGATTTCCGCTTGGGGTCCTCCCTTGGGAATGACTGCGTACGCCTCTGATATGTTCTGGTTCCGCTTTGGGGTCCTCCCTCGGGAACACGTGCGTTGATTTCTGCTTGGGTCCTCCCTTGGGAATGACTGCGTACGCCTCTGATATGTTCTGGTTCCGCTTGGGGTTCTCCCGTGGGAACACGTGCGTTGATTTCCGCTTGGGGTCCTCCCTTGGGAATAACTGCGTACGTTTCTGATAAGATATGTGTATATGTTTTGTTTGGTTATGATATTTGATTATATGACATGTTTTATGGGATATGTATGATGATTTTGTAAATGATATTTGTTACGTACGTTGATTTCCGCTTGGGTCATCCCTTGGGAACGATTGCGTACGTCTCTGATATAACACGTTTTGTTCTGATGTGAGTATTGTGATGATTTTTGTAAAAGATATTTGTTACGTGTGTTGATTTTCGCTTGGGGTCATCCCGTGGGAATGACTGTGTTTGTCTTTGATAAGATATGTATATATGCTTTGTTCAGTTATGATAATTGTTTATATGGTGTTTTGTATATTATGTATCTGACTGTCATGCAGGAAGTGAGCCCAGGGTATGGAGGGTTTTCCACAAACCTGGAGTTTACTAGAGATTCGTCTCTAACCCCGTTTGGGGATATGATTTCAGGAACACAGTTAATTGAAGAGCCTCATGGGACAAGGACACTAACCGTGGCTAGAGGTACTAGTATGAGGATGTGGAGTTCTGGGTGGTCGGATGCTACTATTTGTTTTAGACGTATTTTTGGAGAAGATGTATTGTTGCATAGTGTTCATATTCGATACTTGTACATTTATGTATTCAGACATGATGATATGACTATGTAGTATTCAGTTATGTTATGTATTGGATTGCATGCTATTAGATTTGTGGCACGGAGCCAAGTTCAGCATGCGCCCATAGATGGGTATCTGAGTATATTTGCATGACTGGTACTTCTGGAAATATATATTGTTTAAACTGTCTATCAGGAACTCTTGAGAGTGGGATTGAAAAATCCCCAGTTTTCCGATTTACAGAGGTTACTCTGTCCGATTTTCGTCTCCGTAAAATAAGAATTAAATTAGAAGAAGTATGCAATGTGATATGTCATGTGAAAAAGGATTAAAGAAAAAGAAAAAGAAAAAGTTAGCTCGTATTTCCGCAAGTTATGTCTTCCGCTGTTTCTGTTTATATCATATGCATGTTAATTGAACCGGCTCGAGACGGGGATGTTACATTTATGGTATCAGAGCAGTTGCTCTAGGGATTTACATGATATATAGCATAAGATATTTGAAGTTGGAAGTTCTTGAGTGTTTTCTTGGAGTGCTTATAATGCATGTGTGATCACTGAGTGTGAGCGTAGCTAACTCATTCCTTAGTGTAATATATGCAGAGATATGGTTCCTCCAAGGAGAACTCGTAGAACATTTAATAATCATGATCCACCACCGGATCATGTTGTAGCGATTTTGGCTGCACTACAGCAGACTTGGACAGCAACTAGGCAGAAAAAGCTTGAATTAATAATGAAGCATTCAATTTGACTGTGATAAGGATGAAATTTCGAATTTTCGCCAGGGAAGGAAATTGAATTTACAATCGACTTTTTACCTGGCGTGGGGCCTATCTCTCTTGCCCTATACCGGATGTCACCTCTGGAATTATCTGAATTGAAGAAGCAGATCGAAGACTTGTCTAGTAAGAATTTTATCAGACGGAGTGTATCTCCGTGGAGAGTCCCGGTGATCTTTGTTAAGAAGAAGGACGAGTCTATAAGATTGTGTACAGATTACCGGCAGTTGAACAAGGTTACTGTCAAGAATAAGTATCCTTTGCCGCGTATAGACGATTTGTTGGATCAGTTGCGTGGTGCGACTATATTTTCTAAGATTGATCTTCGGTCTGGGTATCATCATATCCGGATAAAGTCGGATGACGTTCCGAAGACAGCTTTCAGGTCCCGATATGGGTACTATGAGTACCTGGTTATTCCTTTTGGGCTTACGAATGCACCAGCCGTTTTCATGAGTTATATGAATCGGATCTTTAAAGCCTATTTGGATCAGTTTGTGGTCGTCTTTATTGATGACATATTAGTATATTCAACGAGTAAATAAGAGCATTCTGAGCATCTAAAGGTTGTTTTGCAGATTCTGAGAGAGCATCGGTTGTATGCTAAACCGTCAAAGTGTGAATTCCAAGTTATAGAAGACAACAGTACTTCTGTACCTGCACAATTATCTGCAGGTTGCCTCTAAGATTGACCAGCAATAGGTCTTTCATGCACTCTAATGCCCATTCTCGCGACAGAGTACCAAAAAACTCAACAAGTGACTGCAACAACCAAATAATGAGTGAGTGTTTTGAAATTACCATGATGTTAAACTATATAAATTATAAAAACAATAGGAAACATAAACCTGTGGCTCAATTGCATGTGTATTTACAATCACGCGTTTTATATCTGGCAACTCTGTGTAATGCTGTAAAAAAATAATGCAATCAGCAAGAGGGTGATTATCAGCTTAAACTGGAAAAAGGGTAAGAGAAAAACACATTTGGAGAGTCATTACTTGCAAAGCTCGCACATAAAGACCAGCTTTTTCACAAAGTTGGGCAATACGAGGACGGTCGTAATGGCTGAACATGCCATTAGCCAAAATTGCATCAGCAACATTAGGGAAAGTTACCAGATTTATCTCCAACACCTGAACAATAATTCACAAGATGGAATCATTGCAAAGAAAGAACAATAGGAGTAAATGCCTACAACAAATGATAAATGAAGACCGAAACCTTTGTTTGAAGGAACCCATGTTCTGGTAGATTTGGCTTCAAAACATCTAGGAGAAAGGCAGTTGCCTCACGGATCAGGTTTCTCTGAGCAGGACAAAAAAGTAACCAGAAGCTAATAAATGGACTGTCCAGTAATGCATATTGCTAAAATAAGGAGGGGAAATGACATGGCAGTCCATGTGCTTTCGAGTCTAATAAAGATAATGCCACTTAAAGAAACATTTTGTACTACAAAAAAGATCACCAAGCAGGAATATTATATAACTAATCACTGTAATGGATTAATTACAGTATATAATTAACCTGAAGAAACAGATCGGTTATGGTATTGTAATCAACTGGGCAACCGCCCTCCATTTGCGACATCATTAATGCAAAATTAACAGCACCCTGCAAATCAAAATGAAATAGTAGTTGAATTAATTTGTAAAACTAAAATTTTCTGCAAATTAAAATGAAAAAAGTAAACTTGTTGAAATAGTTCAAAATTACAAAGGTTTCTCACATACCTGAGGATCTGTCCGGAGAATCGTTTGCAAAAGGAAGAGATAGTCAGGTGTATACCCAACCTATCGCAACAAAGTAATGAAAATGTTCAGGACAAATTTGTTCCAGTAAAATGAAAAGGGCAGGATATGCAATGTTCATAATACAGGCTGAGTAAAATATTCTACCGACCATAATAACAACATTAAATAATTTAACAAGAGAAGAACAAAAGAATCTTATGAATCAAACTTCAATATTATTTCATAAAACATGCCATCTACCTGCTTCGAGTATATCAGAATCTTGTCAAACTCCCTTTTCGCAGCAAAAGCAGTAACAACTTTTGGAGTAGCTCTGGCTTTGATATATATTTTTATAGCAAGATCATTATCCACAGTCTACAATGGAGCACACTTATAAAAATTAACACAAATACACCATTAGACAATAAGCAAATTCAGCAAGGAGTATACCATTAGGCAAACAATCAGAAAGAAAGAAAAGCAAAATGAATAAATAAACAGATCAATTTAAAGTTTTTCAAAATTTCAAATGCAACCCAACCTTTACAAGATCTCCTAGCTCCTCACTGCATTCAAGCTTGTCCTCTGCCAACCAATTCTCCAAAAGATTTTTCTTGTTCTGGTTCACAACCAGCCGTGACAGTTCTAATGACTCAAAGGCATTCAGCTTTCCTCTCGTTAAGAGTGTTCCAAAATATTGCAATAGAGGAGGAGTTTGCCCAGCTTGCACAGGAACACTCTGCCACATAGAACACAATGTGACACTTTAACCATTACAGTCTAATTGACCCAAAAAATAGGACAGACCTAAAAACAGTTCAATTTCCTTTAACCCTAAAAAAAATGACTGTAGGTAAATTCTGTTGCAGAAAGAGCATGAACAAAATCATTGATAGCTACATCCTATAAGAAACCTGAAATTTGGCAACTGTATCAGGTGTCCGAAGGATTCCTTGTGGAGATTCAGCAGCAAGCTCAGCTGCTTCTTTATACTTTGTTTGGGCAAATAATTCATGGAAACGTTCCACAACCTGTAATGTCAACAAGTATACATGTTAATGTCTAAATAAAAAGGAAATGTAATTACAAAAAGAAACCATTTTAAAGGAGTCCAATACACAATCCAATCAAACAACCAATTCCAAAAATCTTGTAAAATGCCAAATAACAAATAACATCTAGACTTCATTAAAAGAAAAGAAAAAGTAAATGGCACAGATTTTATGGCAACACAGCATTCGGGTCACTCACATACACCCTCTCAATGACCTTTTAAGGGGTTTATAAATTTTACGTTACTCCTCCAAAAATTATTTTGCAGCTGAGACAATAAAATATGAGGGCCACAATTTTTTTTTCTCTTTTTTTTTTTTTTGTGCGTATCGACCCGTGCAATGCTATAGCTAACGAGTTCTACAAATTTTGTGTTGATGCAGCAACAAAAAATTTATAAGCCCCAATTTTTAATAAAAAAATAACATGGCATCGAAATTTTGAATTTACTTTTTATGGTAAGCTAGCATTAAATATATATATATATATATATATATATATATATATATATATTATTTAAATTTTAGATACTTTAAAAATTTGATTGCAGTCATTAGAATCAATTTATACCATAATAAAAAATATTTGGGTTATTTATCTGATTAACAAATGTTGGATTCGTTAATTGACATCCATAATCATAACGATCTTAGGGTAGAGAATTTTTTTTCCTATAATTTCTGATACGTTTATTTTAAATTTTGGATACTTCAAAAATTAAACTGCCATCGTGAAAATCAATTTATACCATAATAAAAACATTTGACTTATTTATCCGATTAATAAATGTTAAGACATATTTAATGACAATTGTAACTATAACATTTCAAGGGGTAGAGAAATTTTTATGTATATTTGTTTTTTATTTTTGATATCTCAAGATTTGATTACGATAGTTAAAATCAATTTACACCATATGACTATCGATGGTTAGGATTGGTGAAGAAGGTAAACATTTGGTTTGATTTTGTTTGTTTTAACCAAGATGGAAAAAGAAGATGAAAAAAACAATGTTTGTTGAGAGAGGGGAGATAGTATTAAGGACCTGCGACGTCAGACCCTTGACGGCTTCTTTTGTGTTCGGCGTGCCGTTCCCACGACCATCTTCATCCCCATCAACGGGGGTTGGCTTGGCACACAGATTCATGCACAAAAACATCTTCGCTAAAAAGCTCATCTTATCTTGAACAACAACAAAACAAGCAAACATTTATGGTTAGATTCCAGAGAATGAAAGAGTGTCTGTCAACAGTTGAGAATGGGAATGACATATAGAGAAGAAATGAACCATATCAATATATGTCATTGGTTCTGAATGGATAATAGAACAAAATAAAAATAATAATAAAAGTCATTGAAGGATGAAGTTAAGGTTATCACTTTCATTGAATGAAACAGTGACAGGAAATGGCCATTTACGGTAAACAAAAGTAATGATTAGGTTACAGGGAAAACGCCGAAATAAAGACCACACAGATGCAGCAATTGAGTTATAATGCAACTAATGAATAACAATTCTCCAAAAAACAACATCTTTCACGTGAAACAAAATGGTCCTAAGATAACTGTAACACCCCAAATTTCTAACAATTTATAAAACAATCTTATAATAAATAAATTGTCAAAATTCTTTTTTTTTTACAATTATAATAATAGAAATATTGCGAAAGCTAATCTAAATCTAATTTGGGGAATGTTACCGCCGCACCTGTACAATGGACAGGTTGTAACACCCCAAATTCTAACAATTTATAATAGCATAAATAAATTCAATAATCTTATAAATAACAGCGGAAGTTCAAAATAATCGAATTTGGGAAGTGTTACCGTCGCACTTGTACAGGGACAAGTGCAAGGCTAACTCTACTACATTCAAATAAAAATTCTATTATTTTTCCAATAAAAATTTCCTAAATATCACATGTAATAATTCGAATTTAAGAATCGTGATATAAAAGTTGTGTTCATCACCTTGGGAGGTACCATCCCAAAGCTATCATCCCACTATTTAATTATTTACAATCACACTCAATTATCATATCACATTTGAAAATTTCTTCTTTCAATATATCCATTACTCAAGGTCATCATAACTTTCATATTTATTCAAGGATATAATAATTCAAATCTTCAACATTTATCATAGTAAAACCCAAATCTAATCATCGTCATTCATACAATCACATCACATCAATTATCATAATTATTCAATCATTAAAATATGGATATTCAATCATATCCATTTATTCTCAAAATAAAAATTCTATTATAATAATTTCATATAAAACTAACCTAAGAACACCTAGAGATTAGGATTACATATATCAAAATTCATATCAATATAATCTATGACTCTCTAGGGATTAAGATTACATATATCAAACATATAACTACCTAAAGATTAGGACACACTCAATAAAATTTTATACACAACTAACCTACAACCACTTAGAGATTAGGATTACCTGGTCTCCGTTTTCGCTAACTTCTAGAAGAAAAGAGTAATTTGGGGCAGAGAACCGGTTGGTAATCAGAAGAATATAAAATAAATTAAACTAAGTTTTTGAACAAAGAAGAGAGAATAGTAGAGGAGAAATGTTGAAGAGTGAATTGGTTTGGTTAGGCTACACCTCTATTTATAGTTGAAGTTTAAGGCTTACACATTACTGACTCAATGCTGACTCATCATTCATATATATTAATATTATTTTATTATTAATAACCTAGAGTATTACAAAGTATCAAAATTATTTTTCCAATAAAAATAAATAAATAAATATATATATATATATATATATATATATATTACTACTAATTTATAGTTTATTATTATTATTATTAATAAAAATATGGGGTATTACATTCTACCCTCCTTAAAAGAAGTTTCGTCCTCGAAACTTAAAAGTTTGAGCTTCTCAATTAAACTAAAAGGCATAAGGTTAAAGTTAATAAAAATATTGGGTATTACACAGGTGCAAGGCTAAATTTATTACATTAAAATAAAACCAAAGACTAAAGTTTAAATAAAGGAAATATGTCTTATGCATTTCTTTAAATCTCATAAATTTCTAACTAAAGATTAGGATACACACAATAAAACATATAACTACCTAAAGATTAGGATGCACACAATAAAATTTCATACACAACGAATCTACAACCACCTAGAGATTAGGATTACCTGGTCT